AAAGAATGATTATGATCTAGGAGGTGAAGTACGTATGTAGAATCTGTTTTTATATTATTGAAAGCCCTTTTATGTTTTGCTATTCGTTTATTAAAATTTCTACCCGTTTGACCAATGTAAGTTTTTCGGCAGTCGATACATTTAATTGTGTGCACACGACTGTATAAGTGTTTTTTTATTTTGGCTCTTGTTATTTTTAATATATTTGCTTAAGTTGTTATTTGTTCTGAAAGCTGTGTTATTCCTTTCTTTTTTATGTGTTTGGCTAGTTTTGTTGATATTTTGCCTGTATATGTAATCAAGCAAAAGGTACTTTTCTCTGGTGGTGGAAATACTAATTTCAGGGCTTTCTTGTGTAGTTTTTGGTTTAACATTTTATTAATTGTTTGTTCGTTGTATCCATTGTTTACTGCTATTTGCTTAATAATATTTAATTCTTTCTCAAAGTTGTATTTTGACATCTGCATTTCTGTTAATATATGTCACATACTATGAGTAAGCTGCCAGTTTATGTTGTGTGGGATGGGATGATGAATTTTATATAGTCGTGTCAGTATGGGTAGGTTTATAAAATATGGAGAAGTCATGTTTATTTTTAAGTGTGATAATTTTTAAAAATAAAAAGAATTAAAAGATTGTAAATTAAAATCTATGTAAATTAAAAAATTTACATATATTACAAAAACAAATACAACGTGAAGAACAAAGATCACCTACAACTTAAAAGATATGATCGACCATTCAACAGACAGATATATTAAAGAAAAATATTAAGATTAAAGTCTTTTAATCGCAATAGATCATTTTCACTTCTTCACTCCCAATGACTAATTATTGGGTTTCAGATCATGCTGAAGCTATAATTATTTTTAAATGTTTCAAGAATTGGTTCCATGACTACTAAAAACGATTCATAATGAGTTATAGACAGAAGTAGAGTTCAACGAGTTCGTTCAAAATCTAGTGCCACATTGACAGGATAAACCTATAATTTTGGAACATTTCATTGAAAAGTGGTGATGTTAAAACAATTTGCAACTCTATTCTGACATTTCTTGCCTCCAAGACAATCAATGTAAATCACGTAATAGCTGTTGGTTGTAATGGGACTGCCATTAACACAGGAATCAAAGATGGTGTTATTCGTTTATTGGAAATCAAGTTTCAACATCAACTTCAATGGTTTATATGCCAACTACACGCTAATGAACTGACATTGCGTCATCTCTTTCAACATCTAGATTGCACTACAAGTGGACTAAAAGGTTTCACAGATCTTATTGGCAAGATAGTTACCAACTGTAATGTATTACCAGTTGTTCCATTTAATATATCTACTGCAAATATGTCAGTATATCAATAGGTTGACAATGGCGAACCTGATGTTGAAATTATATGTCTCAAGTCAAACTTTATCAAAAAACCCATCACTTAGCACATTTATTTTAACGGTCTATGATCCTATGTGGTTCAGGATCAAGACTGGGCCAATTTCTATTTTTGGTGCCAAAAATTTATATGATACGATTAAACTATCTCGCTATTTACCAAACCATTGGAAGAGTATAAGTGACCCAGTCATACAGAGAAATGCATTCTTTGGGCATTCAAAGAATCTACTACTAGATATGTTAGCCTATAACAGACAGTACATCAGGGAACTTGCGCTCCGCATAATATTGAAGATTAGAGAGACATCAGACATTGGAGCCTTACGTATTTTCCAAGTACCTACTTTAAATATGGATGCTAATGATTATATCAATATGATAGATTGTAAAACCAAGACAGAACCGCCACTTACGAAAAATATCAGTACTGAAATATTATCTCAGACCGTCATTCTTCTTCTGGTTCATATCCGTTTCGGATGTTGGAAATCATATTGGCAATCATAACCTTGCTCGCTGCGGCTCGAAACAGCTCCGTTGAGGTTTTCTTAAACCATGTTCTTAAATTCCGCAGCCATGATATTCTCCTTCTACCGGGTCCTCGCTTACCTTTGACTTTACCTTGCAATATAGACTGTAGCAGGGAGTAACGGTGTTGATTTCTCATAACGTGTCCCACATATTGCAATTTTATGCGTTTGATCGTAAACACAATCTCTGGTTCCTTTTTAATTTTTCCTAGAACTTCCTTGTTCGTGATCCTTGCTATCCATGATATTCTCAGCTTCTTCTATAAAGCCACATCTCAAATGCTTCAAGTTTTTTAATAGTGGTGTCTGTAAGCGTCCATGCCTCCGCCCCGTACAACAACACAGAGAAAACATAGCATCTCAAATGTCTCATTTTTGTATCAAGGGATATGTTGTGACTTTTGAAGATGGCGCTCATTTTGTTAAAGACCGTTCTTGCCTTTCCTATGCGGCACTTTATTTCCTGTAAATTGCTCCACTGTTCGTTAATAATAGTTCCCAGGTAACAATACTGTTTTACTCGCTCTATCTGCGTCCCATTAATGTATAGATGAGCCCTGTTTATATTCTTCTTGCTGATAATCATTTGTTTCGTTTTGTGGGTATTAATGTTTAGTCCGTACTGTTGACTGTACTCGTTTATTCTGTCCATTAGCATCTGAAGTCCCTCTAAACTATCTGTTATCACCATGGTGTCGTCGGCATATCTAACATTGTTTACTCTTTCACCATTTAGAAGGATGCCTTCGTCTATTCCGTAAAGAGCCTCATTAAAAATTTTCTCTGAGTACATATTAAATATCAGCGGCGATAGGATACATCCCGGTCTAACTCCACGTAGTATTTTTATGTGATCTGTTCCTTCTCCGTTAATTTTCGTGTATGCAGTCTTATTCCAGTAGAGTTCTGAAATTATTCTGAGGTCTTTGTCATCCAGGTCTGCCTCTTTTAAAATGTTTATCATCTTTTGATGTTGAACTTTGTCAAATGCCTTTCATAGTCGATCAAGCACGCGTATACGTTGCAGTTAACGTCCCTGCATCTTTGAATCAGTACCTGTACTCCGAAAAGTGCCTCTCTGCCTCTCAGACCGTCATAGAGCCACAGAAATATTGGAAAAATTTCATTTTACACGAAATCCATTGAAAGGTGTGTCAAATTAGTTACAAGACCCAAGTGCTGCCATCTGTGGGCCACAGAAGAGAGACGGCCTTATTCAAAATAATCTCAAATCATGTCTTTTGATGCCAAAATTTTGTACCAAAGAAAACTACCGTTTATAGTGATTTTTTATAATGTTCTTCAATTTGTCAGCATTTTATCATTTTATATTGAATATTTTAGCTTTTTCTTCATATTACAGTCCCAATAGCTAAAATGAATGAATAGAAAATAGTATGGTTGACTCTATCAAATTATTTTTTTAAAAAATTGAAACTATTAAAATCATCAAAATTTCAAAAGCGTTGGGGCATTTGTCAAAATAAAAATAACAACAATTATCTTAAAGGTTTTTGATTAGTATGATATTTATATTAGATGATAATGAAAAAAAATTTTTTAGAACATTCCAAAAATTTTAATTGCGATAAGGCACTTTTCGGACTTAAAATATGATACTTAAATACAAGTATAAGTGAAAACTCTTCACTAAACAAGTTATTCCTTGGGTAAAGTGTTATTTTAAAATTATATACTGAAATTCCAAAAAAATCGTAAAAACAAAAGATATAGTCAAATTTGTAAAGAAATCCTTATGTGATAGCCCATGTGTGATAGTATATTTAAATATTATTTATTAATTACCCAAGAAAAAGTGGTAATAGTACATGGGACAAAATATATATGTTTTCCAGTGTAGTATATGAAAGATGAACAAGATTCCATTAGATGCAGTACAGTATTTTTGTAACAAATAGCTTACAGAGAAAAAGCCCTTTATCCGTTTATTCAAATTTTGTGTTATTACAATTATTATAGTCATTATTAAATTATATATTACAATAATGTTATTCTATCAAAAATAACAAATATTGGCGGATGAAGTAAATCTCCTTCGAGACCAAATTTATCTCAAAAGAATACCACTATTTACTGCTTCGTCCTCCATATCTTATTTCTTCGTCGTGGACTTTTTCACCAATGTCTTAATATATACAAGTAAACAACTTTTACGTGAGTCGATTGTTCAGTTTTCATTATTATTCATTTCATGCAAAACATACCCATTTTCAGGCAAACGACATCGCTTTAAGCCAACTATAAACATTTTAATAACGCAACTTATCAAGAAACGAAACCAAAACAAGTAGATTACTGCAGTTTATTTAAAGTTAAAAAGAGAATGGGGTTAGCGAATGTAGCCGAAAGTAGAAAATGTGTAAAATTGACGATAATGCCTCCACCCTAAGAGTCTTGTTTGTACAGGTTCGGATTTATTAGAATTGGTTGGAGAATTCGCCTTATCAATCTTTTAAAACATCCAACTTAGTTAGACGTCATTTGTCTGGCTTTTTCCTTTATTTTGACTGGCTTGTTGAAATATTGTTCTGTTTTTGTTTGCGGTGTAAATTTTCTTTTGAATTTTATTCAATTTATTTGTAAACGAGAAAAATGATGGATTATTTGACGAAACTCTATTATACATATTGAATTATATAACAACCAATATAAAACATATCAGTAGAAACACAGTAAATCAAGAACAATGCTTTTTCTTACACTAGAGTAAAGTGCTTTAATATCAGACACTTTTTTGTTAACCCTAATATTAGTTTTAATGCGTCTATTGATTTATGAATATTTTAGAGCAAAACATCATTTATTGAACGAAAATAAATCATTTCAACAAATTAAAAAATAAAATTTAAATTTTTATAAGAAAAACGGTAAATTTAGACTGACAAAAAAATGTTCCCAATTTCGGATATTAGGATACGGGACAAAATTAGTCATCGAGGCAGAAATCATAAATATATGTGTCTTTTTTGTCTATTGATGCAGTTAGTGTGAGGTATCTTCGTCCGAGGTATCTTCAGAGAAGAGTCCAGTAATAAACATACATTCTGCTTCCTCTTACCCAATGTTACACTCCATATCAGAATCATCATCTAAAATGCATTATTAACTTTTTCAGATGAACTAAAAGCTTCCATTTTCTTAGCACTTTTCTTTTTAACCTTGGTGGTCATTGTCTTCTTAGCAATAGATTTTCATTTATTTTTATTTCTTTTCTTTTTTTTTATTTCGAACATATGTGTCTCGACAGCTAATGGTCATTGACACAGGTACAATTTACATTTATGTTTACATGGTTAATACTTTACGTGGAGTACAAATTAGTTACAATACACTTTTTTAATACATTTTGTTTTAAATTAAATTGTATACCTTTGTGTTTTTTAAAAAGTTTAATATATTTTCGTAGTTACTGCTGTTTGAAATAAGAATGTCTTTTAGGTTGTTACCAAGATTAAATTTTCTTCTGGCCGCTAGGTAGTGTTGACAGTCAAGAAGTACATGTGCTACGGAAGTCGTGGTGTTGCAATACTGGCACAAAATCGGATTACTGGAATTCATTAGGTGTCCATGTGTAAGGCGTCTGTGTCCTATTCTAAATCTTCAAATGATAGATTTGTCCTTTCTTTTCATTGGTGAGAGCTTGTGGTAGAAAATGTTTGGTTGTAGAACGCTTAACTTGGTATTGCTTTTTTTTCATTGATCATTCCAAAGGTCCATTATTTTATGTTTGATTGTTCTTTTTAGATCTGATGATGTTTGAATGTCTGTTGTAACGTTAAGAGAACATGCTTGTTTTGCTGCTTCATCGGCTTTTTCGTTACCTGGAATACCAACGTGTGATGGGACCCACAATATCGTTACTGCTACTCCATTATTTTGAAGACGATTACATATGCTCTGGATTTCTTGAACTATTGGGTGGATAGAGTGTACGTTTCTTATGGACTGCATGGAGGACAGAAAGTCTGTACAGATTGCTATAGTTTTATCATCATTGAGTGGAGTTTTCACCGCCTGTAGTATTCCATATAGTTCAGCAGTATAAATACTGCAATTGCTGGAGAGTCGAAACAAGCTGACGGTGGTTGTAGTCGTTGTAACAGCACAACCAACACCTTCTTCAGTCTTAGATGCGTCTGAGTAAAGAATCTTATCGAAGTTGCATTGATGTAGTATTTCATAGAATCTTTGTTTGATAATGGAAGGTGATATTTCTTTCTTATTATATTTGTATAATTCGATATTAAAATTTGGAAGTTTACATATCCATGGAGGGGTTTGAGGGACCGTGAAAGGGCTGGTCGACAACAAATTGATATCTAAATAAGGAAGTAGCATCTGTATAGTGGACGGTACCATTCTAGGATTATTAGTAACTGGTAATTGTCTATTACAGATGAGGTTTCTAGTGGGATTTGTGGGATTTGCTAAAACTCTAGCGAAATAGAGCAGTAGAAGTTGTTGTCGTCTTAGATGAAGCGAAGATTCGAAACATTCTACATGAATACTTTCCACCGGACTGGATCGGAATGCTCCTAAACAAAGTCGAAGCGAAGTATTGTGGACGACATTAAGTGAACGTAGTAGTGATTTACTTGATGACATGTATAAAACACTACCATAGTCAAGTTTGGAGCGAATAAGAGCTTGATATATTTTTAGTAGTGTTTCCTCATCGGCTCCCCAACTATAATGGGCTAGTGATTTGAGGAGATTCATTCTTTGTAGGCAGCTACCCTTAAGTTCTCGAATGTGTGGTCGCCAGGAAAGTTTTTTATCGAAAATAATGCCGAGAAGCTTTATTTGGTCTACTAGTTGGAGAAAATTTCCATTCAGAGTAATGGTTGGAGATTGCGTGTTTTGTCTTCTAGTAAAATAAATAACTTTGGATTTAGATGAGGAAAAGTTTAGGCCGGATTGACTGGCCCAGTTGTTTATTTTACTTAGCGTGTTTTGTAGTAAAGCATTTGTACTGGAAGTGACCTTTCCATGACAAAATAATATTATGTCGTCGGCATATATTCCGTATTGCACAGGGTCGTTTATAAATGAGCTAAAATCGTTAATACTAAGGAGAAATACTGTACTGCTTAGAACAGACCCTTGTGGGACACCGTTTGTGGTTGTGTGCTGGGAAGAAGTTTTGCCATTAGTAATTACTTTAAAGGATCGGTCTTTGAGAAAATTTTTTATAAACGAATATATATTACCGGATAGCTTGTTCTGGCTTAGTTTGTTTAGTATCACAGAAATCGGTATAGAGTCAAAAGCGCTTTCGATGTCAAGGGAAATTGCAATGACTTCATTTTTGTTAGATAGCGCAGTCGCAATTGTTGATTGCAGAAGTACAAGATTGTCCAAGGTGCATCGATTTGGTCTGAAGCCTGATTGAAATTGGTCGAGGATTTTATTTTGTTTGAGGTACCAAAGTTATCTTTTATTAACCATTTATTTCTTTTCTTAAAAGGCTCACATTTGTATAATTTTAATTTCGGAATTCCATTTGAAATACTTTTATTTCTCTTCTGTTCTGACAAACTACTTTCTAAGGCATTTTTGTATGGTGTACCCGTAATCAAGGCAGCAGATCCTTTTCTGGACTTTCTTTCTTTAATACAAGACTTGTAAAATGAAGTGGGGGGTAAAGGGCCAATATCTTGTGTCTGCACTATTAAATCTTTATTATTAGAAATGCCCTTAAATGATAAATTTTCCACACATTTGGTCGCATCAATACTTCTTGGAGGAAATACATGCTTTGGAGGAGTTACTTGGTTTTTTTGTTCAGCCTCTGGTAGACTTGGAACTGGAACTCGGTTACCTTCCGCTTGATGGTGAATGGCAAAGTTATGTTCTCGAAAAATGTGTTTACGAAATGGGCAGATACCGTTCTTTCGAAAACCATTTATAGCAATTTCAGCTGTAGCACATCTTACATAAGCCCTTCCAAGTAATTCGCAGATTTGATAGCAGGTGACTACTCTTCCAGGGTTGTTCTTTTTAGAAGCCAATTTTCAATTTTCTGCGAGTAGTAGGTTTAAAGAGGCCTCATGAAAGCAAGGTCCAGCGGCTGCATTTTGTTAGTAGAATGCGGCGGCAGACTAAAAATAACCACATGGTTTTGGCGCGCCAAATTTATCAAGTCAATGTTTCGCGTGTAGGAGAAGTGACCATCCAATATTAATACAACTGAACCAGCTTCACTTGGTTTAACGTAACTAATAAAATGTAACCAATTGGTGAAAATGTTACTCTAAATCCAGCCAGACACGTGGCAGGCAGCTATTGTCCCTGGTGGAGCGCAGTTGAGCAATTTTGCCTTTATATTTTTTCGGGAAAATATGACCATGGGCATCACAAAACCACCAGCCGCATTCATACAGGTAACCACAGTCACTAGTGATCCTCTGCAGAAGTAACCGCCCCTACCTGCTTTACCTTATTATGCTTAAATTATATTGAATAACGTTTAAACTTATTAATGGATGGAGCTAAAATCATAAGGGGTTTCTTAAGCTCTAGAAAACCTCTATTTGAGAGTAATTTTGTAGAAGTTAGTTTATACTGAAAAGATCTATGACTCTTCCAAAACCGTTTCTGAAGACCTAAAGTTTCTGAAGAACCTAAACAGTCAATCTTCTAAAACTTGTCCGCATTTATAGCATTTTTATATCATTCATTCAAGATTTACGTCGTCAGAACCACACAGCGTTGCCAAAATATCAGAATAGTTAGTAAGTGAGGAACTATTAAAATGTCAACTATTTGTCAAACTATTATATTAATATACATATATATAATACATACACATATAAATTATATATATATATATATATATATATATATATAATATATATATATATATATATATATATATATATATATATAATACACTTAGCTTTAAGACTACTGCAACACATTAAATTACATAAGAAAACATTTTAATACAAAATTATATATCCTAAATTTTTAACTTACCACTTTTAGGGCTTCAATAGTAAAAACGTCCTGCTATTATTTCTTGTTTAAATTAATCTATCTTATATAAAAGCTTATCAGCTTTCTACAGACTGTTTTGGCATATCACAATCACAACACACAACAATAATTAGTTTTTAAAGCTATTAATCTAAATTTAGTATGTATTTATAAATAAAATTTATTAATATATATTAACTTATAATCAAATTGTGTAGGAAATCTAAACATAAACAAAATCCCTACTCTAAAAAAGCGGCAACACTTTATACACTTTTGCCACATTCTTATCTGTCTAATTTCATAAAATTTATATTATTTATATTATTAATAATAACAAATGTTTCTGGTTATTTAATCAATATAATTCTAAAATTTACAATATAATGATGATTACATTTTTATGATTATTACACCATGTTGACGCCTATGAAAGATCGAGCTGTTCCGTATGGGTGGTTTCGTATTATTAGCTGTGTTAGGAAAATTTGAACTCTAAGGTTGATGTTCTGGAAATCTTAAATACAAGTTACGTCACTTTGTATAAATTGTGACGTGCAAGTGTTTTACTTTGAAAAATAGTATATTTCTAATTTGACTATGTAATACTTGTAAAAATATTTCAAGCATATGGAACATAGGGATATTTAGTCGATAATTAGCACAGGTCCTTGGATGTGGTTTTTAAGGAATGTTTTCTTTATTTATATACCTACTGCTTTTAATTTTTTGCGAATTTCAAGTAAGTGTATTATTTTAGATTTGATGATTTCTGGTTGTTGTAGTATTTATCTAGTAATTGTTCGTTGATTAAAGTTATTAAAAGTATTATTTTATGAATTCTTTCTCTAATATCTTTAACATTCCTGTATATGTTACATTTGTCATGTTTTTGAGGTAAGTAATTCTTCCAGTACTTTACACCTAAACGGGAAGAACTGTAAGTATTCTGTCTTATTTTTTCATTTTTATCTAATATAATAGGGAAACCACTATTTTTTAACTTTTCTATTTAATATAAAATAGTTGTGAATAATTTTTAACATGATTTATGTCATCCCTAATAATTTTTGTCTTATTTTGATTCTTTTTTAAACTATATTAGGTA